GGCGAAGGCCATCGCTGCCGCCGGGCTGGTGCGACGGCGGGTCGGCCGGGGCTGAGCGAGCTCCCGGTCGGAAAGTTCGCGCTGCTTCGGCCCCTATCGCTTGGTTCGCTCTCTCCGCAGGCGGCTGCGAGGAGGGCTTCCTGGCGGCCTCCCCGCCCGCCTCCCCCGGCGGCTCCCCCAAAGGCTCGAGGCCCGGCTCGCCGCTGCCCACGCCGCAGGCGCCGCGGGTGGACCTGCAGGGCGCGGAGCTCTGGAAGCGCTTCCACGAGATCGGCACCGAGATGATCATCACCAAGGCGGGAAGGTAACGGGCACGGCGCGGCCGCCACCCGCGCTCTCCCGGGGCGGGCGGGCACATCAAAGCGGGCCAAAAGCGGGGGAACCCTCCAGATTTACGAGGCAGGTAGATGGCGATAATGTTAGATGGGCACGGGAACATGTGGCGTTTCGGGTTTCCTGTTCATTAGGGCGAGGTCTGGGAGCGCCGTGCCCTTCTGGGGGGAAGCTTTTCCCCTTTCCAGGGGATACACATGGTAAAAACCTGGGTAGTATAAAAGTATTTGAACTTATTAGAAATTACAAAAACATATTTTATTGAATCCATATGCTACCGTCTGCATTTGCAGAGAGGCTTTATTAATGATTGAAACGCAGTCTTAAACAGCACAAAGCTACATTTGTCTTAAGAGAGTCCAGTCGGGGAATTTCTGTTTTATCTTACAGGTGCACTGAAATAACAGCAAAAACTAGTTAGCCATAGTCAGGTTTTTACCCTCCTGCTTATTCAGAAATGGCRGGGATAGGATTTTTGTTTTCAGTAACTTTTAATTGATTTGTTTTATATGTATATATATATAAAATACATATACAGCAGCAAATACTGAGTAAACTGGAATAACTTTCAGGTTTATAAAATATGGAAGAGTATCTTAGTAGCTTGCAGTCAGGACCTTTTTTTTCCTTCAAGAATGAAATTTTCTGATAAAAAGTATGCTGCGCTGAGAAGGACATTTTTATGTTAAAACCACCTCACTGGTTAATTAATCTGTGTCTCCACAGAAGGATCCAAATCTTGAATGTTTGGATTTTCATAGTTTTTGTTTTGTTTGTTTTTTTTTGGTTTTTTTTTTCCCCAGAAATTAACTCGTTGATTCGTTTCTGCTTTCAATAAAGAAGTTTTACTATACCTTTCAGAGACAGAGTAGCTCTCGCACTTCACCTTTAGTAAGTTGCAGACAGGAAGTCCCGTCTCAATAAAGACCATATTGTTGGGTTAGAGCATGGCACATTGGCTTTTATAACTGCATCCTTGCGGTGTTATAATTGTATCACCATGGATTTAGCTTTATAATTTGCTGCTACAGCAGTGATGCACCATTTTCTGTTGAAACTTCAGTGGCAATTCGCCTTTCTGTAAGCCTTGGTCTTCCTGGGTGGAGGTGATAGCTGCATATCTCCAGGAATACATTTCTTACTAAAATCTCAAATGGGCTTTAAATGTGTGTATTGCTAAAGTGAAGTCTCAAACCCAAATGATTTACTGTCTAACAATAAAGTTRAAATGATGTGGTAATAGCTGTACTCCCAAAGCGTATCCCCAAACATACGAAGCATTGTTCGAGTAAATGCACTTTAGAAATCTGTTTTGACATATCGAATGGGCCATTTCATGGCTATGTAACTATAATCGTCCAAAAGGACTCTGTAGGCTAAAAGGAAGAACGAGAAAAATCCCACGAAGCGGTTCCTTTTCCTAAACAACCATTCCCGAGTCTGTTTCGTATTAAAAATGACCTCTCTCTTTCCAATGTTCAGGCGGATGTTTCCCGCAATGAGAGTGAAGATTTCAGGTTTAGACCCACATCAGCAGTATTATATTGCTATGGATATTGTGCCAGTGGATAACAAAAGATACAGGTATGGTGACTTCTAGGCAAAAATCATATGATGTAAGCCATAGGGTGCTTGGCTGTTGGAAGAAAATATTAACACAGCATAAATTAGYAGAAGATCATGTTTAACTCTCCTTAAAGAGTCTTATTTTCATCCCAGTGCATTTAAAAAAAAAATATCGTACCAAGTGTGCAAGGAACTAAAATTTCTGTTGAAGCTCTTTATGATATATTCGCCTCACATTGTGTATAAACTTTGGGCAAATGCTCAGGTTTTGGCTTTCAGAGTGCAGTTCTAGTGTGGTCAGGAAATGTTATCATATTTTATTCCTCATCCTGTCAGTGGGAATTATTTCTTATTAACAAATACATATGAAAATGTACATTTTCTAATCCWAAATGGCATTAACATTAATTAATAACATTAATAGCATAGATACCTGATTTAAACACTTATAAGTTATCTTGGTTATGCTTCAAATTGATTTTATAATTTAATTTAAAAGCTGTTTATCACTGTTTATCATTGTTCTTAGACTCACAAAGGGTAATGTTTCTAATTGCTGTTATTTAAAGAGTTAATGGTGTTGTTGTCTGAAGAATGATTYGAGGAACAAGAGAGGTTGTTCTTTGAACATTCAGGAGTAGAAATTATGTGCTGAAGCTCTCACTGTTTTGAGGGTGGCTATGTTTTGAGGAAGCTTGTCGGGCTCTGCAGAAGCCACTGGTCCYGTAGGAATGTTTGCACGATTGGGCCCGCAGCAGTTCCTGTTGTGAGCTGAGGCTGTTTCCAAGGTCTGGCTGTACAGATGCAATCCCATGCTCCACAGTAGCCAGCAGGGAAGCCTGGCCAGAGGAGAGCAGCCGAGACAGGATCAGGTCTTTACCAATTGCGGGTTTGATTGTTTTAACCTGTACTTGGTATGATGTAGGGAAAGCCGCTGCAGATTTAATTCYAGGACTAGGAGTGTTTCAGACCAAGATTAAAAGGTTGGTTCTGCAGGAATGCTGCCTTGTTTCTTAAGYGAATGCTGCCCTGTGTTTTTCCTGTACTTACTCATTGACTGCTATTTTGTCATTTTCTCATGGTGTTCAAGGTGTATAAGACCTTTCTTAGGACCATCTTGGATTTTGTGTTTTTCTGCAAAGGGCAGTTGATAGCAGKGCTGAGGATGCTCAGCATATGCAGTTAGGAGAGTCTTTTCTGTCTGTACCATAGAGGAAAAAATGCTTTTTTTCTTTTTATCAGTGAAGTGTAGTGCAGTTCAAATGAAAGCTTTTTCTTGCTTTGTGTTGTGTGTATGCATTTACTTAACAATCTAAACATACAATTCCTAGAAGGTCTCAGCAATTCCTAAATTCATATGAAAAGCAAGGTAATAGTTCCAAATTAATTAAAATATTAATACTAAGAATTAAAAGCAGTTATACTGAGTGTGAGTTGTTTTAATCTCATTTCACTTAAAATAATTACAGTTATACTGACCTACACTGTCTTCACAGTGTGATACATAGTGCCCAGATAACTGAAGTAACTTAACAAGGATTATATGAAGGGCAATATTTTCTTAGTTGACAAGTTTGAAATTTTTTTTATTCGTGAATTGATAGCCATTCCTTTCAGCTTTCTGCTAAATATTAATGTTTACATGTTTTACTTGATACCACTTCTCATTCTTTCCTGTTCTATTTATTGCTGTTATTTCAACTCTGTTCGTGCAGCTTCACACACTGTCTTGCAGATCTTTAAATTTCATAGACATGACAGCAGTCACATGGAGCCTAGTCTTTAACTGACAGAGCAGATAGCAAAACTAACGGAAATGAAGAAAATCACATTTACGTCTGGATTTCTAGCAAAATTTGACCTTATAAACATTTGGAAGCTTAAGCTGTAGCTCAGAATGTGTATTTATAACTAAATGTATATATATGCATATTTATAACTTTATTTACCTTTCTAGGGAAAGCATATATTTAGTATAAACTAAGAAATATAAAATAAATGAAAAATGTTACAGCAGTTGACTGTGTTACAACAGTGATCTGGGGTTGAGAATTTGTCCCCAGAAGAGAATTTCATCACCATTCTAGATCTTAGTTATGCAGCTTGATCTGAACTGTATGGASCCATACATGCATTGGATCATTTTGTTTTCTGTTCTGATTATGTTGCTTGTCTTTTTCTGATAAGGTACTGAATTGTACAAAGATATGATTTGACAAAGTCTTCCTTGTTTTCATTAAAAAATACAGCTATATTACTGCAATTTTACTTTGCTTGAAAAAATTAGCTTTCAATTAATGCTTTTTAAATTGCCATGTGAAGTGTCTGCCTTCAGAAAAGGCTTTCTACCAAAGCAGGCACATTTTTTATTATAAAATTACCTCATCAACATTGGCCTGTTGAATGAAATACTCTGTGTTTTCATTTTTTAACCTTTTTGCAATACTATCCCGGCCAATTAATAAGATCTAGAGAAATATCAAGAGCATAGTTTCACATACCTTCATTATTTTTCCCAATAATAGTATTCTTTTCCTTCAATAGTTTTATTTATAGAGTCTTGTTTTAGGTTGAACATYATAAATCTTCCATGTATGGAATTACTACTCAATTTGATAAAAGAAGGACCAGGTTCTTCCCTGTTTGCTGATGCGTTTTCAGAGCAGAGCTGTAGCAATCTGACACCAGCTTAAAGCTCTATTTGAAGCCTGTTGTTGATACTGTAACTGATTTTAGGAAGACTTAAGGTCAGGTCAGAGCATGGATTTTAACCTTATTATTGCAGGTGCCAGAACTATGTTAGGAAACACACAAAAAAAAATTCCTTTTATTTATGTAAAATTGTGTCTTTTCACGTTTTGGTAATCGATGCTGTGTGCACGGGCCCTAATTTATTAATGCTGAATGGGTCTAATAAATAGTTTTGGTGTAAGTGGTTAACAGGATTTATTTTCTTTCATAGGTACGTTTATCACAGCTCCAAGTGGATGGTGGCTGGTAACGCTGACTCCCCGGTGCCGCCTCGCGTTTATATTCACCCTGAYTCTCCCGCCTCGGGGGAGACGTGGATGAGACAAGTGATCAGCTTTGACAAACTGAAGCTTACCAATAACGAGCTGGATGACCAAGGGCATGTGAGTAGTTGCTGTTTGGTGCTGTTACATGTAGGTGCATTGCTCAGCCCTGAGAGGCTCTGATATATGGCTTCGGGATGCCAGAAATAGGCTTGACTTTTCAGAGTTGTTTTGGAACTTTGCTGTTCAGATCCAAAATCTGCTTGCTTTCTGCTCCAATGATTAACTGCTTATTAGAGCCTGCTGTTTTACTCCCCCCTCAAGYAGAGGACTCCTTCTGCAAAGTCAGGCTTTACAAGGCTAAATGGCCTAATACAGGGGGGCAGAATTGCTCTCAGTATTTCCCACCAAGCGCGTTACTTTAAACTTCAGCTACGATCTAAAAGGACGCTAAAATCGCAAGTGGCTTGAAGAAACTTTAATAGTGTGCAATAACTTCACGTGAATAAAAATACACTTAAGTATTTTCTTAACCTAAACATTTGTGTGAAATCCCGTGAGGTGTTAATAATTGCAGTCAAAAACGAACAACATGGGAACTGGGTTTGCTCCGATGATGATTTATTACATACCTTATGAAGCAAGACCCTTTCACAGCTGAGGCTCATTACTCCTGAAAAAACTGGCGAAGACGTATGCAGTATGAGTGTTCTGTTTGCAAGTTCTAAATTGTTTAGTTATGACATTATCTAATGTGACAAAATGTGTTATGTTAATATTTCCTTTTCTCTTCAAAACTGYTGAAACATGACAGATGTAAGCCAGTATCGCTCCAGCGATCCCTAAAATAGTTTTACTTGACACCTTAAGAAATAATTAAAAAATGAGAATAGTTTTTAGTCAGGGTGAWGTCTTTGATTTTGCAAACTCCTGTAATAAATGGCAAATGTTGGAATCCTTTCAGAAGGAGCGTCAAGTTCCAAGTGGTAGCGTTTTAAGATGTTGGAGGCAAGTTTTGAGACAGGATGTGGATTCCATTGTATTTAGAATAACCMAATTTATTAACCAGGAAATTTTCTCCTTCAAGGAAAGGAGTGAAAGAAAACACACCTGGCACAGTGCACAAAGATATTACACTCATCTTTCAGTACGATTGTAACTCTGACATKGAGCTGGGTATTTTGTTGATACATAGTCTGAGATTCCTCTCCCACCCCACCCCGTTTGCGTTTTCAAAATGAGATTGACAGAGGCAGGAATACAGGAGAGTGGCTGAGCTAGCACATGTGATAACAAGGAGAAAAAGACTTGCATTTGTATAATAATTTTAATAATTTTTATTTTGTTCATCCTTAAAAGAACTGTGGGGATATTCATGTCTCTTAAATTAGYAGAGGATTTATTAGGATAGTAAAAAAAGAAATTTATGTTGCTTCTTTCCAGAATTACAGTTATAGTCTTTTTTGGCAGTATCTGTTTGAGTTCAGGTTAGCACATGAAGTTCCTTTAGTTTCCCCAATGTTCGTGTATTTGTGACCCCTCCCATGTGCGAGTTGTTTTCCATGAATCCTGAGTSTGCTGTAAGGGCTCTGAGAGGAAGGCAGATGCAAATTGATAAAATGTTGCTTTTCYAGCAGTGAGCTGGTTTTTGTACTCKCTGGATGCAGAGGGACGCTCWGTGGGCRCTGTGGTCCACYGGTGCGYTYRCASTCTCAAASTGCCCTGTGATAAAATCTCAGCTATGYGGAGAATTGTGTTACTGTATTTTTCCATCCCACATTTTAGCATTGTTTTTATTCTGAACTGAAACCTGTGTAGTGTACACAGCACACCATTATTCATAATATGGGGGKATATAAATTTTCTGGTCTTTAGTTAAGTATTTCAGCTTGGAATCGAGTGAAGCAAAGCTTAAGAACAGTGATTTGAGACACATTGAACTGATTCAGAGCTATGGCAGTGCCCCTCCTCCCCAAAATGGAAATTTAAGTATTAAAATAAAAGGACAAAAGAAGGATGACTGTAAAATAATTTCATATTTCTCAAATCTGGGAAATTGCAAACATGTCRTTCATAATTACCAGAAAAGGCAAAAGCAGAAAGCAGAAAAGTGTCTCTTCCAATGGGTACATTTTTTCTTTTAAAGCTATGGTAGTGTGGAATGCTGTATTGAAAAAGCTATGTAGCCTCTGAATGCCTCTAGCAATAATGGAAAACGAATAATCATATTTTGTGATGAATATAAAAAACCAATTGTTTCTCATGAGCCRGAAGAAACCATTTTTCTCAGGAGGGTACCAGGGGACGGATGGCGAATTAGAAAAGCTGAGTCAAGGCTGTAATGTCCCTTCAATATTCGTTCTTATATCAAATATTCTGACTCTCCTACCCCTGTATGGGACATGGGGTATATTTTAGATTATTGGAAAGGGTTTTTTTTTATCTCGTGCTTACACAGAGTGCCTCAGAGGAAACTTCGGTGRGGTCTCCACCAAGAGTGTTGGGCTTTAACTGTTATACTTTAGGAATGCTTCCCTTGCTCTCGTGTTCTGGCGATTTATTCCTTGTTGGAATTGTTCCTTTGTGCTTCCTGTGCTTGTTGAAGGTGTAAGCTTTTGCAGGGTTCTTGTGTTAAAATCCCAGGGGTAAGTTTTGATCTTGCAGGAGTTGAGGTAGACAGCTTGCATGGTGTCAGTCTAGAGCCCTTTCACCTATAGAGTGTTAACTCTCAGAATCTGTGAGAGAAGTGACCCATGTCTGTGGGARTAGAGACAATATTTGCAAATAGGCACTCAGCTGGTATTCCTGCACAGTGCTTATGTTGTGGTAGTAGTTGGTGGCAGCCAGTTTGTTCCCCTTGCTTGTGTTTCCCTGGGATGAGCATCCTGTGGAGGGAGATCAGCCCTCTCTAAGACTCACTGCTTGAGCGCTTTCCAGATTCCGCGTTGCCTGCCGCTGTTTTCATCCGTATTTCAAGCGGGAGTTTGTGGCGACGCAATTTTATATTGCTGCTCTGGGGAGAGATTTTGAAATGCAAATCTTCACATGGGACACTCTGTGATGCATAAGTTCCACTTGCAATCTGAGCAGATAAAGTAAAATTTGTACGGATATGTTTTCTTTGTGTGTTTCTGATCTCAAAAGGGAGTTCCAGGGTGAACTCCCTACTTTGGAAATACTGCATTCTTACATAGTCATCGAGACACACACTGCAGCTTTTGTGTCTTTCATCGAAGTTCTGATGATAAGCAAAAGTAAACCTGGATTTTGCAGTTGTCACTGAGAAGTGCATGGTCTGGATGCTCTTTGTTAATGCCTCTCATCCCTCTCATCTGTAGAGTAAGTGCTGCACTGTAAAAGCAGTCTCTCCCTCCGGCTGGTTAGAGCTGGCTAATTTTTCTATTTCAATGCAGTTTTTAAACTGAATTTCAGTGGAGGGCAAAAGTCAATATTTTTYATGCTATTTTCCACGCTTTTCAACTGAGTATTTTTTGATGCAGAGGAACGTCTTTTAACTTCTAGTGAAAATGAGGCTGTTAGTGTGTTAATTGTTCCTTGGTGGCTGGGGTGGGATTTTGTCCCCATTTGAAAGTGGGGCAAGGCTGGAAGAAGAGGCAGGCTGTAACTCTGCCCRGACTTGGCTCTGAGTAGCGAGCTCTGCTTACAGTCAGAGGGCAGTTATATGTTCRTGTCACAATGAAAGGCTGTGAAACATCAGCATTTGCACTTGCAGATTTTTGTCTTAGTACAGAGGCAATCCGTGCCCCTCATCTCCACACACTTCCCTGACTGCAGAGAGCCTGAATGCTTGGGGTTTGGAGGGAGGATAAAAGGAGGATTTTTGGCAAAAAAAGCATCAAGGATCGTGCCAGTGGTGGGGAGGTGACTATGTAGCCTTGGCACCACCACTTTACCAGAGGATTGGCATCTCCCCTGTGAAGGAGCATCTGGCTCTCATTTGTTCTGAGATTGTTGTGCCACAGTGGTGCTCATGTTCATGGTCCACTCTGAGGCTTCATTGTGGCAGCAGCACTCAAAAGCCATTGCAAAGGTAATCCCAGCTTTGTGTGCCTGCAGGTGCCGTGGTTGCCTTTGCTCTGCCTCCTATCTGTGGGCTCCCTGCGGCGGTGTCTTCTGTCTGACCATGATTTCTTGGCAGCTRCTGTGGCCAAAGTATAATTTTACTTTTTGTGAGAGAGGTTTGTTCTCCCTTGAAGTGTTTTGATCTTACTCTGTGAGGGCTTTGTAGAGAGAGGCAGACTCTTCAACTGTGAATTGAATGTAATGCCAGTTCATATTTGGGACAACACTGGGACTTCTGATTGGGGTTTTTTGGTGTTGGATTTTAAGGGGACGAAGGGAAAGTTGCTGTTTCTGCAGATAAACTATTGTATCCTGTTGATGCTTTTAAATGCGCGAGCCCTGTGAAATGAAGAGCCTGAATCTCCTTTTCCTTAGCTTTTTCCTTCATAGCTAATTTAGGTGATGGTTTGAATAAATGGACCTAAATTGTTTTTGGAGCGGAGGTTGCATCTYCTTCTCCTTTTATGTCCTGTCTTCATATGTTGCTCTTTAATTCACAAGGGCTCTGCAGTTGTGCATTATTTATTTAGAGTTCAGAGTCCTTCCGATCACTAACAAAGATCCCATTGTTAGAATGCATGCTACAATATCAAGAAAAAATAATTATTGCTATGGATTTGCTAATTGCCAAACAATGTGTCAGCACAAGAAATTTCAGTAGAGGACAGAGGCCAGACAGGYTGCTTTTAGGAGATGACATGGGTCGGTTTAGCTGTAATGGCCACYCAGATAAGGAGTGGRAGGTGTTCATCTCTGTGCTACTCTGATTGCACTTGTTCTGATGCATGAGCAGAGCTCTCTGTAGCTGCCAGGGTTATCATTGCTGTCCAGGCAAGCAGTAGTTTGCACCACGGAGCTGATGGGGTCAAGTAATCCATGTGGGAGCAGAACATGGCATGCTCAGTGGCATCCGGACAAATGGCAAGGCACAGAATCACAGCGGATTTGAATAGTGGATCATCTTTCCTTAATAGTTTCTTTTTCTGTGGCACCAGTATCTCCCCTGGTGTCACTGGGTGTTCACAGGAAAACAGGGTCAGGAGTGTGCTCTGCTCTCTACATTTTCATTTTGTAGATTTTGCCACTGGAGAACTGAAAATGTTGTAAAAGAGAATAAGMTTTGGTGCGATAAAAAATTTTGCTCTGTTCCAGATTTCAGAAACTTGAAAAAGTCTTTGTATGAGAACATCCATAGGGCACTCCCTGAGCAAATTAATTGGAGCCTGTGATGTCACTGTCAAAACCTTACTCAAAGGCTAATAAAACGCCTGATTATCCAGAAACTTGCTTTTCCAAAACAGGGTCATGTAATCTGGCCAGGGCCAAGTGTACTAAACTAGCCAAACTCGAGTTTATCCAAATGAATGTAATATTCTCTGCCTCAYTTGGGTGAATGAACTTCCCAGTGTCTGGCATAGGGGCTCTGTTGAGTGCTTGAGCACACGCACATTCTGAGGCTGCTCAARGAGCAGGAAATTAAAAAGCTGCCTCTGAATGTTGATTAGTTGTTCCACAGGCCAATAGGCATAGGACTATTTATTTATCACATTACTAATTTCTTAGGGCTTCCAGCAATAATACTTGAACTTCATTTTTATTTTTTCCTTGTAATCTTCAATTTTAATAGTGGTTAGCTGAAGTGGAGTAAAATAGAGGAAAAGTTCTAAATCTCCTCTAAAATTGGGATGCAGTACTAAGAGGTATTCGTGTGTTTAGTTTTATGCACTCTGAGTTCGTCCACTTTTTTATAATTTATTTTTGATTGAGGTATGGTATGGTGGGAAGGGTTTGTTTATTGAAATTCATTGTCTGTGTTATAAATTGATATTATTGATTAAAATTAAATTAAATCAAATTAAATCAATTAAAATATTAATTGATTATTAATATTTTAGAGTTTTGGTTAGGATTTTGGTATCATTTTACTATTAAGCTTATGCTTCTTCAGAGTGCGAGAGTCTCAGCTTGTGTTCCAACCAAGATTTGTTTCCAGCCTTTAGGATATAAGGAAAATAATTGCTCCAATAGAATATCCTAAAGGTTCCAAAAACAAAAGGCAAATTTCTGCTGCTGCTAATCTTATTAGATCAAATCCAGACTTCAGTGGAAAAAAGTGACCAAACTTTCATAATTCTAGTGAGACCTGGAGCTCACTCCTGATTTCTCTCTTTTTTTTTTCTGAGCCAGTATCAATTGAGCCAGTCTCTGAACTTGGAGCTCCTGAGTCGTAATTTTTAAATGCTTAGGGTTGGCAATAACATAAATGCACAGGGATTAGACTACTGTAACAAGAAACTTCAGAGGGTAAAGAAAACATTTGATTTCCAGTAAGTGGCATGGTAAACACATACCATAATCTGTTCCAAAAAGCTATTAGTCCTGAAACAGCAGGGTGTCCTTTCTAATAAATGTTATCTTTTTCCTTTCATGGCTGCCTAGATTATCCTTCACTCAATGCATAAATACCAGCCTCGTGTCCACGTCATCCGAAAAGACTGTGGTGATGATCTGTCCCCTGTCAAGCCCATCCCTTCAGGAGAAGGGGTGAAAGCCTTCTCCTTTCCAGAGACAGTTTTCACTACTGTCACAGCATATCAAAATCAACAGGTAATTTGGGCCTTGTGATTAGCACTTTACAGGCTTTTCAGAGCAGACCAGGGCTGTAAGAGATACGAGAAAAGCAGATACTTCTACTTTATCACTTWTTAAAATAAAATGGTCTAAATCCTTTTTGTACTACAAGTAGCTTTCTCTGGTAGCATTGCAGTGCCTGGAGGCTATAGCTGAGACTTCACAGATGCTGCATGTAAAAAATGGTTCTTGTTACGGTGTTCATACAGTCTAATTAGCATGCTTAATGATGAATTAATTATCAATACAGCACTGAAGAACAAGGCAAAGAGCAGTCTGATTTCTAAAGGTGTTTCTGCACCTTTAAAAGTAGACATGTGTCTGGATAGAATTTTTAAAGCACTTTTGTTCTGACTCCAGTGCTTTTAATACTCCCAGGGCCTTAACAGAGAAGCTGAGTTCTGAAMAAAGTTGCAGTTCTTTTTATTAACTGCATTCAACTTATATTATTAACAGCAATTTATCTGGGTCCACACGGGTTCAAAGTCAAAAGTAAACTGCAGGTTGTATTGCTCCAGTGTTCAGCTCTTTCTACCTTTTGTTTAAGCATTAGCATACATAGTGACACCATAGTTAGTGCTGTGACATTTTATTAATTCCATAAAAATTATTGCAGCTGTATTTTTTGAAATTATATTGCATTGATATCTTTACAAAGAGGAGAGCAGGAGAGCCATGTAAAGCCTGAAATATGAGTATTTGGTCACTTACCCATTTATTAAAACAAATTACAGTTATTTGAGGTGGGGTGTGTTTTGATGGGTTTTCTGTTYGGTTGGTTTGGTTTGGGGCTTCTTTTATGGACATAATAACCTAGAGATAATGTCTCTTTTCACATTTCCTTCTTGACCTGTATGGAAATAAAATTTAACTAATTTTTAATTTAAATTTTATTGCAGTTAGGGAGTGTACTCTTGTAGGTGAAGAATGATATTTGCCTGAAGTTTTTTCTCAGTAATTCCAGCTACCATTTGGCAGCTTTGAATATCTATTAGCTTCTCTGGGGATCTGCAAAAATAATGATAGAAGATTGTCCCTTATTTTGCTATGTGTCAGGACAACCATCTTAAACCATACAACTATGAAGATGTTTCTGTTGTCAGCTTATTTCTGTCAGCAGAGATGTTTTCTGTGCTACTTATCTGAGTTTACAGATTTACAGTAATGATTTCTCTTCATCACTTTCACAGATAACTCGTCTGAAGATTGACAGGAATCCATTTGCCAAAGGGTTTAGAGATTCGGGCCGTAATAGGTAGGTTTTATCCAACAACTGTTTTATGCAAGCTACTTAAGCCTGTTTTGAATTGCATGTTAAACCATTTCAACTAAAAAAAAAAAAGCCATATTTCATTGGGGTGCATATTATACATCAATTCCAGCAACCACATAGAGTTTGGTGTCTGCCACTGCTATATTTATGACCAAGCCGTGCAAAGAAGGGAGCAGAGTGTGTGCTGGTAGGAGTGATCAGAGAGTTTCTTTTTGATAGTTGCTTTATTGAGCTTCTGTTAGCAGATGCTGCAGCATTCAAGCCTGTTTTGTGCTTACACCTGAGTTACATAAAAGCTGAGACTGGACAGTGAATGAGAGTAGTTTTTAGAAGATTCTGTAGAAGAATACTTAGAGAAGGGATGAGATAGTTGTAGACTTGCAGGCACTCACTCACTGCAAGTATCTTTTCAGTATCTCCGAGATTTTGTCTTCTAGCAAGGAACAATTACCCACATTCTGGGGCGGGGAAGGGATGTCCCAGGCACTGACATGAAGAGAATTTTGCCCTCCTTTGTAGCCTCTTAGTTAGAAATTAAGTGAGCAGTAGCTTCCACGTAAACGCAGTGACTGAAGAAGCAAAACATGGTCTGTGTACTTTAGGAAGAGTTGWCATTTGTGCCTTGTTTGAAAGCTCTCTCATGGGCAGTGTTTCTGCTATGCTTGATGTTTGTAGAACTATAAAACAGGTATTGAGGAGCATCCTAAGAAGTGTGAAACCCTGTTCCTCTGAAATAGAYGAGTTTAAGTGAACTTAGAATTTCTTCCACATTGTTATATGAAACAAGAGCAGAGGCCCTTTACAGCAGAAAGGGAATAATTGTGCAGTTTTGAACAGGTTTTAATGTGGTGGGGCAGCTCTGGTATTACCTGAGGACAATGTAACACAAATAATTATAAGACTGGGTGTATCCAGAAAAGTGTTTTTATTTGGCTGCTAGGAATAGTTTGGTTCAGGGCTTCAGAAAAGAAGCAGGATATTTTGATTCAAAGGCATTTATTTTCTATGGAAGTGGATTAAGAAGGTCAGTCCTGRAGGAAGAACTAGCATCTATAAAGTGTTTTGGAGTGGCCTTTAGATGAAGTCTGAGTGCTTTTACTCTGCAAACACACTCATTACAGAAGCGTCTCTGCAAACCCTTGTTTGTTGCAAATTGACATTGTTTTACTGAAGTCAGTATCACTGTTTTCTTTTATGGTCTGTCTTTTAAGCGTGTTTGGGAATTCAGATCAGATTTTTGTTTGTCAAGGAAAATTTTTATTGGTTTACTGAGTTGGTGATTAATTTGCTCTGTTACTAAATATTGAAATTAGGTATCAAAGTTCTGTTATCCTCATTGTTCTAGCTGACATGTTTATCATTGAGGCATTTTGTTGGCAACAAGTTAAAAAAAATACTGTCATAAAATTATACCCAACTTTTCAATATCGCTTTAATTATTGCAGCTATCTTGCTTTGCACTGCTGCATGAAGTAATTCTGTTTAATTAAAAATATTCCCTTCTAGGTCATTCCCATTCAGTCCCACAGGCTATTTAACAGAAACCAGTAGCTTCACCTTTTAAAAGCATTCCCTGTGCATTTGCAAAGTGCAACAGAATTTATGTGCTGAGAATAGTTTCATTCTTCAGTTGGGCCTTAAGTTTGACCCTATAAAAACTTTTACTCAGGARAAGACCAGAATTTCTCCCTTTAAATACTTCAGGAAAAACATAACTGTTTAGTTAAATAAACYTGGGCATTTGATAGTGCAAATTAGGGTGGTGATAAAATGTGGAAATTGTTCGAAGGCATCTTGTATAAATTATCGCCTTGGCTGCACTCCTCCAGGAGGTGGCTTTTATCTCCACTTTAACTAGAAATGAAAATTCACCATTACTGCAGAAAATTAAGGCTATCTTTTTAGACTAGGTTCAGCTAATAAATGCCTTATAAATGCTTCCTGACAGACATTTGTGTTCCAGTTGGAAATCCAGTGGGGAAGGTGCAGTATCAGAACATATTGGTTGCTTCAAATGGAGCTATTTGCATAATTTGAGTTTACAGAGTGCTGCTGCTCAAAGACAAGCGCTTGTATTTGGAGTGTGCCTGATGCTAACACTGGGCCTCTGGGGCCCAGCAGCCAAAAATAACACCAAAATTATACCTTCAAGTGTATATACCTCTGAGGTGCATTATTCATAAATAATTGTCAGAAAACAAGGCTTTTACCTTCAGGAAACAGAGATTCTTCTAAATAGTGTCTGCCACCGTTGTCTACACAGTTACTTCTGTTTTCTCAGGACGTGGTGGGAAGAAAATGAGTGAAGATTTCTTGTTTCTAAAGGCAGTTTGCTTAGCACAAGACACAACATTGCTTTATACCAGATTTTAGTAAAAAAAGAACTATACMCCCATGCCTTGCTCCTGTTCTAGGTGTGCTTTTCCAGCTGATCAGTAGTGGCTGGGAATCCTGTTTTAATAGAAGTTTTCAGTGGATCACCTTTGTTCTGGGAAAAAATAGCAGATCATCCCTCTGGTAGTTRAAAACTTTAATTGCCAGAGGGATGATCTATTTAAGAAATACCATATTGGCAAAACATTTAACATCATTTTAGCCAAGTCTTCCCACTCAAACAGGCCTCCCAAAAAGTCCAAAATAATGAAATAGAGAGCCAGGCTTGTGGATTGGAAAACTCTTTGTGTGCTGTCAGCCCAGTGGTTGTAGGTCTCTGTGGTCTCATGGATAGGATGTAACGCTCTTTACTAAAAACCAAAAGCAACTTCAAAATAATCTTGAAATGCTACTGGTTTTTATGTGTTTATGAGGTAGAGTAGCCAGAGATGTGTGACAAAATACAGCTTGCTTTCATGACATCGTGATTCTTTCGTTCTACATAGAATGGGACTGGAAGCTCTGGTAGAGTCTTACGCCTTCTGGAGACCTTCACTGAGGACACTGACATTTGAAGATATACCTGGGATACCCAAACAAGGTAATGGCTGCCTTTGTGTTCTTTCAAATTAAAAATGAAAGAAGATGAAGCTTGGCCCATCATACTTTAGAAAAGTCTAGGTAAGCATGTCACTCACAGAACAGGAACAATCAATTAACCACAGTGCAGCCATCACCTCTCATCAGAGTTTTTCTGAGTTAGAAAACTAATGSTAACTCAACCACCATGGCAGTAAAAATGTTAATTGTAAGGAAAAATCAGATCACATGTGGAGGAGAAGGCCAGTCATTTAAGGATTGAATACCCTATTCCTTAACATTATTCTCTGGATAGATATGGAGGGTASAGATTCCTTACAGATGACTTCTGTTGTACAAATCCAAACTCCAGTGTAGGAATTACTTGTGTTTTTAAGAGAAAAAAAATAAAAAAGGAGTAAGAGAAGGAATGTTCTCTTAAGCAATTAATAAATAAATAKTAGGAAGTTTAATTAGTTTTTGTCTTAGATCCCTTCTTGATTCTTAAAGACCTAAAAATGGTTTAGTAAATGGGCCAACAGACTTTATCTCCATTCTAGAGCTTAAAAAATCGGTCTCCTCTCCCTTTTGCTTTTTCCTGCTCCTCACTCTTCATTAGAAACCTCTTTGTTTTTACTTTCCCAATTTTACAGATAGTGTAATGAATGAAAAAAATATTTAAATGGTCTRTTTGGACAGAGAATGAAATCTCTGTACTCTTTTCTGAGTTCTTTTATTAYCAGAGTATGCCAGTGCACATGGAAAACTTCTCAGCCTTTTCCCAGCTAAATCAGACTTACTGCTCCAAATTCGTTGCATCTTCTGCGTTTACGAGCATCCAGTTTTCTTTCTTGATAATTAGAAAGTTGTTAAACATCTTCATCGCAAAACTTGATAAATTCAGAGAAATCTATTTTGTCACCTTCTTAGCTTGCTCCTTTGAGAAATCTTGAGCATCAGTCCTTGATGTGGGCAACTAAAGGAGATTTCGTGCCAAGTCGTAGATATGTTGGATGACTGTTGGCAGAATTTTGAGCAGAGCATAGGGTTGAGGGATGGTCTCATCAAAAAGGCTTTTAATGAGAAGTTAGAATGAGACCTGGAATACCTTGTCAGACTGAGTAAGACTGAAACGCAACTGACTATGCAGTTAATCCATTTAGGACAGGTCAGCTTTATTGCCTGTTTGTATGTAGGAACATTGTTTGAGAGCAGGGGAACTGCTGYCATTGGCTTCTCACTTCCTTTYCTGCTGCTGCCTGAGGTTAAGRATATTKGTGAAGTTACTGWTGATAYTCTGAGGATGGAAACTGGGATCCTTGCAAAATCTTGAATCATCTACGCCTTGCACATAGAGAATTTCTGAAAGATCACATTAGAAATTTGTCGGGCTTGTTAATGCTGAGAGTGCCCAGGTAGTGGAGGCACTGACATAGATTGGAAGAAAAATGTCTTACACCAGGATTTCTGTAATGTGGTAGTGTCAAATGGGGCTTTGTGYTTATGGTGCCCTTTTAACAAGAAGAAGCAGCAGGCAGTGTTCACTAATAGTGTGTYTTTCTTTTTACTAGCTTACCTATTATGATAACCTGTTAACTTATTGACAGCATTTATCTCTTTGCAGCATCAAGCTGTTTGATTGTYGATCAAAGCCCCAGTTAATTTTCCTACACTTAGTGTTCAGGAAGATACAATCTTTTAAGAAAAGGAAATGTTTCTTGCAGCTGGGAAGTTTTCAGTCCTGAGAAAAGATTTCACCTGTAGCAGRCAGTGTTTTCAGGAGCATTCAGCACTGGTATTTGTAACGTAAAAAGTTCTGATACCAGTAAAGGAACAATTTGCACACAGTTTGCTGCAAATCTACCCATTCAAGAAATAAAGCATCTGTTTCAGATGCAGTATTCAGGCTACACTTTTCCTGAAGTTGTTCTGAGTTTTGTTCTCAGATTTTTTTTTTTTAGTTTGAAGTCAGAAGTTTTTTGTCCTGAAGTTTGGAACTTTCCTGAAGATGTTGACTGTGAGACCCTCTGTCATCTGAGCTAAGGATTTGGTTCCTCAGCTGGGCTCTGACAGTGACAGGCACAGAGTGCTTGAAACACACTCTGGACTGTAGCAAGAGCACAGACAAGTCAAAAGTCATCATTTTGAAGAAGGTTTCCTGTGATSTGGGAATTGCTTGGCTACATCTCAACTGCCATGCAGTTTTCTTCCATGCCCTGTAAGAACATTTTGGGCAGGAGCTCTAAGTACTGAGTGACGGCTGTAAAAATGTAACTTCAGTTCTTTCTCGGTCAAGTTGTTTCTTTAGAAACATGCCTGTGGTTTACTAACATATCCTCCTGCACATGTATGGAAAAGTTTTTAATGAATTCAAGTTGGATATCATCTCTTGTTATGAAAGACAAAGGTCTTGATCTGTCACCTMGGAAGTGGACCTTTCCCAATGTGCTTCTTACACTGTAATATTCTCTTCCAGGAAATGCAGGTTCCTCTACCTTACTCCAGGGATCTGGCAGTGGAGTTCCATCTACCCACCCTCACCTTTTACCGGGCTCCCCTTGCTCATCTCCAGCCTTCCACCTCAGTCCCAACACTAGCCAGCTGTGTACCCTYGCTCCAGCTGACTACACAGCTTGTGCCCGCTCAGGCCTGACCCTGAACAGATACAGCACATCCTTGGCTGAAACCTACAACCGCCTCACAAACCAGAGCAGCGAGACCTTTGCGCCCCCGAGGACTCCCTCCTAYGTCGGAGTGTCGAGCAGCACAACTGTGAATATGTCCATGAGTGGCAGTGACGGGGATGCGTTCAGCTGCCCGCAGACTGGCTTATCCATGCAGATTTCAGGGATGTCTCCACAGCTCCAGTACATCATGCCGTCCCCKTCCAGCAATGCCTTTACCACTAACCAAACCCACCAAGGCTCCTACAACACGTTTAGACTGCACAGTCCCTGTGCRCTCTATGGATATAACTTTTCCACATCCCCTAAACTGGCTGCCAGTCCTGAGAAAATYGTTTCTTCCCAAGGAAGTTTCTTGGGGTCCTCGCCAAGTGGAACCATGACGGATCGGCAGATGTTGCCCCCCGTGGAAGGAGTGCACTTACTTAGCAGTGGGGGGCAGCAGAATTTCTTTGACTCTAGGACCCTAGGAAGCTTGACACTCTCGTCTTCTCAAGTGTCTGCACATATGGTTTGATGAAGCCTTTAAGTAAAAGTACAGTATGTTTGGTGTCTACAATGTATTTCTTTTGGAATATGAAAGGACACTCGATGTAGCTTGTAAAGTGTGTGTGTATATATAATATGAGAGGAAGTTAAACTGAAATTTTGACTTGCTTATGGCCAGATTATTTTCCTATTTTGAGTTACACAGAGTTTGCTGTGGTGCAGACTGCCTTAGTTTTCTGGTGTAATACACTTAGTTGTATAACACATTGGGACATATGCAACAAATTAAGTAAGACTTCCTCCCCTTTCCCCCTCCTCTGTTCTAATCCCTTTAAAGAACGAAATGACACTTGSAGTATTAAACAACACAAAAAAGCCCACTTACATTTCCTATAGAACTAGAGAGTTTCTTTAAAGCATTCATATGATGAGCTGATGCACCAAAGGCATTTTACCAGTTTCTTCTCTGTTATAAGGGATATGAAGGATATTTGGACTTCTTAGTTAAGCATCAAGCATCCAGCCTAAAATAGAAGTTTAGCTAATGGATTATTTGCAAAGTAAATGGAAAGATCAGTTTGCCGTCTCATGATATGCTGTTTTTAGCTTATCAACAGCACAGCATTCTCACTAGGACTTTATTTTTTCAGCATTAGTCTAGATTTATGATTTATGATTATATATTTGAAGACAAATAATGCATATTCAAATTGTGGTGATAGGAACAATTAAAACCAACAGCATTAGAAGCAGCATTCCTTTATAGGAAATGAACTTTGGGGCACTTAATTTTTGTCATAGGAAGGGCTTGATGCATTTTTTCCTCCATAAATATTGCCTATAAGACATTTACTGGACAGTATGATATTCTAATGTATCTTTGTTTTTGTAKTTTTACTTTTTTAAAGGAAAATGCAGGTTTGATTTAGGAAAAAAACAACAAAAAAAAAACAGTGGGCAGGATGAGAAATTCCATTATTGGTTTTAACTGTTTTGTTTGTGTGTGTTGTGTTTTGGGTTTGGTCTGTGCTTTTTTGTTTGTTTGGTTAGTTTTTTTTTTAAGGGGCAAGAGGTCCCGCATCCTCAGTATTTCAAAAATACATCACCTGTATCAATTAGGCAGATGATCTGGTTTGCCCAAAAGTGTTTTTGGAAGCAGAATGTTGTCGTAGCGGCCTTCCTGTTTTTGTCCTGGTATTGGAGAGGTTTCCTTCATTCCCACTTCAGTTTYCTAAATAGCACTTACAAGGATGTAGATCACCATCTGCTCCTGACCAGACTTCTCCAGAGTGACAAGGACACAGGGAGGCACTTGCCATGGTGAAATTTCTGCCCTCATCTGCCCCTGTGTAGCCCGGGTGTGTATCAGTCCTTCTGCAAATGCTGCCTCTCAGCTGCCCGTTTGTCAGAGCTGAACCGCAGAGGTTATGGAACAAATTTTAGTATTTGAGGGAACAACTTATCTTCAGCAGTCTCCTGATCCTCATTGATATTGTGCAGGTGATGTAAAGGCATTCTGAGATGGGTRCAGATGTATTTGACAGTGCTTCCCCTGTCAGCATTGAAGGAGATTAGGGTCTTTCAGGTTTTATGTTTATTAGATTTTTTTGGTGAAGGTGAATTTTCATGCTTTTCAAGTGTTCCTGTATTTTTTCTGGCAAATGGCGGGCTTTACCATCCTCACTCCAAGAAAGACTCACTTCAGTTAATATTTCTTCAGTGGGATGGAGATAATACATGCAGAAACAGCCCTCTTGCTATCTCTTCTTATTTGGGAATAGAAGAGAAAGCACAGCAGTGTTAAAGCCTGTGCCTGAAGATGGCTTTATTTCTGTCAGTTATGTATTTGTTTCTGTTTAAGATATGTGTAAAGTTCTCATTCGAAGTCAGAAAGGGAACAGGATGCAATTGAGGTAATGTGGGCTTGCTTCTTTGCTGTCTCAAACTTCCCAAGTGACCTTCCTGAGTAAACCTAAGTTCACTCAGTCTCTATCAGATATTTTTCCTTGTGAAAAATATGAGAATAGCACTTCTCTTCCTCTGAGGAAAGGGTTTGACCATACACTGAAGATGAAGGTCATCATTAGATTTGCTGTGCTGTGGACAGTGTGTTACAGATGAMTGGCTGAGTAGTGTTCGCATTTTGGGATAACAAAAAGCAGTCGTGTGCRCTTCAGGTCTGTCACTGGTCTTGGCAGTGCAGTGTCCTTCAAGGCAAACTTCCTAGACAGGACCTGCAATGCTAAAAACGCTATTCAAACTCATGGTAATGATTTGTGAAATGGTTCTAAGGTGTGTGGAAGATAGGCAAATTTTCAGCTGTAAATTGTCACAGCTGTACTGGTTTAAATTAAGAAGGAACTGGTGTATAGTTATTCCTGCTCTAGCCAAAAGTTTGAAATATTGCAGTTGGAAAAATACTTAAATGGGAAAAATGGTACAATTAATTTGTACTTGAAAAAGGGTAGTTATCTGTGTCAACTTTAGGAGCTGTGACTAGGTAGAAATGTGGAAGAGCCAAATCATGCATGTTCCAACAAGGTAAGAAAAGAAAAAGGGTTGTGCGTGGATGTTCATGGTGATGCTCCTGGCAAGACTATGTACTTTATTGTCTGGGAATTTTTTAGAACTGGTCTCTTATTTTTCCTCAAATTATTCTTATCATATACTCACACAATATTGTTTCATTTGTTCCTTAAGATTTGAATAATAYTGTAAATACTGGTTTGTCATTGTGAAAGGACTAGCTTTTTATCAATACAGTAAATGCTATATATGCATTATATCTATAATTATATATCTGTATTTTACAAAAATGACACAGAAAATATATTAAAGTGTGTATTCAAACACTTTTTACTACATTTGGAAAACTGAGAGACTTCAGCCTGTTTTTTTTTCTCTACAACTTCAGGAAGACCAAAGGAAGTAACTCCTAAGGTAAGCTCTGAATTTCAGAGACTTAATACAACAAGTTGCATCTAGTCCACAATTTTTAACCATCTGCAGCTGAATCTGTTTTGTTGTTTCTGTRCAGAAGAATTGTCCCAATAGATGCTGTGTACGCGGAGATATTCAGGCTGAAAGCAGAGCTGTGGGGAAAAGGGAYTGAGCTGCTTGCCAGGGATTTTAGCCAGTGATGGAGCTTTAGTACTTCTTACCCCATGTCATCCTAGCTGCCAGGATCAGTTCAGCTGCCCCATGTCAACTGGATCTGGGAAGTTAGCACATCCCTGTGAACAGTTTCTTGAGCGGGGGCTTGATACTCTGCACATTTTCTCTCTGTATTTCTTTGGTAACTTGCCCTCTGTTCTTCTAGTTCTAAATGCAAAAAGCCATTGATTTTGAAGGCAGAATTTACAACCTATAATCATCTGGGTATACTGTTACTCAGCAATGAGCAGCATTTCTCCCCCCAGAAATACTGTTGTGCATAGTGGCCTTATTTCCTATTGTACTGCAATAAATGATTCCATGTGACGTAGGGCACAGGGCCTGAAAATCTGATTACTTCAGAGACTAGGGTTTCATAGTCACTTAACACCAGCATTGTTGCAAATGACCAGAATTAGGGCAAGAGAAGTAGGCATGAAATGCTTGATCATAAATATCAGGCCTCCAGAGAGAATGAAGCTTCTGTTTTTAATAAGAGAACAGTCTTTTTTTTTTTTCTGAATAGCACAATCAGAGTCTTAAGAGGGCTCATTTCTGCTTCAGCAGAGAGACAACTGGAGCARCTTGAAAGTCATGGACATTGTTGTCGCTAATGTCAGTAAGCCTGTACCATAAGCAGTTCAATAGAAAAAATATAAATCATCATCATCATAAGTAGTTCACAAGTTCTATGGGTATTTTTTTCTTGTAAAGATAATATATCTAATTAATCTGTGTAGATGTGTGTTCTGAAAGGTCACAGTTTATCATGATGAATGCTTTTTTGGGTCTAAACTCTGCACTTCAGATGACAAAAACTATTAATTTGACAGTTGAGCTCTTCATTAACATGATCCCCRAGATTTAGTATGTTGCCTTGTATCTACCACAAACTTGTAGATATGTCAATTTAATATATGCAAAACTACAGGAGAATTCATGTTCTGCCTTTATGTTCCACYTTATTCCTCAGTTACTTGGTTGATGCAAAACACTGACATACCAGGGTGGCACACACTTGTAAGAGGTRAACCTGCTTCATTAGGAAATAACGTTTCTAGAAAATTCAACTTGCTTTAAATGCTTTTTGTCGTTGTTGTGTTCAAGCTCTGAAATGGTGTTTGTTACCCAAAAAAAGCAGAAGTTCTTTGCAGTGACCGCTTACTCTTGAAATCCTGTGTATTCACCACTTACTCTTGAAAAGCGGTGTTGAATTKGCCATAAAACCATCTGAGATAGTTGGTGCCCAATGCCCAGAGAGAGCAATTTCAGCAAAATAAGAATCTGAATCTTCTGCCTCAATTTTAGAATTTGAAGTCTGTAAAGAAAATGTTTTTAAGGAGCATCAGTGAATCAGGTCAAATACTGTGGGCAAGTAGAAAAAACTCACCTGAACTTCATTTCTGTGTAACGTGTCATCCCACAAATCTCACATCTTCCACTATAGCAGAATGAATATTAAGCTTCCATGAGCTGGATAAATTTCCAGATTTTTTCTTTGTGGCCTTTCTAAATGTTGGAGGTAGCCCCCAAGTTTCATGAMAAGTACCTGGGCTCCAGTTTTGTGGCAGGAAATGGCAGGAGACATGGAGAGAGCACGAATGGACCCTTCAATGCCATAACACACCTTTGGAATGTCACGGGTGCTGTGATGGCACCCGCAATGCATGGTTCTATCCAAACACATCTCAGTGCACCTCTCACATGAGGCTGTAACCTAAACTGAGAACTGACATCAAAGGCTAGTCAGCGAGGATAAAGTGTGATGTGAAAATCCTTGGTCCACCTGAAAGCTGGGCTGTGGCAGGGGGTGTTCAGCACAGCCCCAGCACGGACTCGGTGTTTGTCAGTGCTGCTGCCAGTTTGGGCTGTGCCCTTAGGTTCATTTGCACACCACTGGTTTTATTTAGATGCTGTAACAGAGAGCCAAGAATAAATTTAGAGCACATTGAAGGAAACSTGGACTCACTGTGGCCAGTGGTAATGTTGCCACTGACTTGAGCTTTATGGATAACCACATTTTCAGATGCTAAGCCATCCCTCTTTCTCTTCTGGAGTGCTTTACCCATGCAGCAGCTGTAGTCATAATGGCCATGGCCATTTTTCTGTCCATTGGTGATGTTTTTCAGARGAATAGCTGGCTTTTTTTTGTTTCACATTCTCTTATTTGGTTTTAAAATTTGTGGTTCTGCAGTTTTTGAGCCATAGACTGAAAGACAAGACAAGGCTGCAACTCGTTGCTCCATCCCCCAGAAGCTCTTGCCTATGGATGGTGTATTCCTTTCCACTGCAGATAATTGACTATATATTTCCCCACAATGTTTTTATTGTATTTTACAGAGAAAAGTAATAAAAATAGAGGTTCTGTCACAATCAAAGCACTGTTTCCATTCCTCAGGCAATGTTTTTCACTAACCCAAAGGAAAACACCTCCCCACCCTTTCCTGGTTACTGTACTCAGTATATGGTTCTTAGCAAGAAGAAAACCAGATGCCATATTTAAATGTAAGATGGCAGAAACCAGAAAACCAGAAAAATGGGTCCTAGTACAGGGAAATGTTCCCAGATAGYCTTTGTGATCTTTGAAGTGCAATTTGGACTCTAATGCTTCTGGAGACATCTGCAAAGACCCTTGGATATTTGCTCCAGGCGATTTTTGTTGGTGTGTGAGGGAGGCCTTCTGATGCCGTGAGCACCATGGGTTACCTGCCCCATGCTCAGGCAGGATGGGCTCAGTGTCACACAGGGATGTGCAGGCAAATGCCATTATGGGGTTCCAGTAATCCTACACAGACAGAAGTGCAGCCTCACAAGTGTTAAACAGACCCCAAAACCTCRTTAAGAGACCAGAYCTYGGSGAGAGCTCACTGAAGGTCAAGCCCATRCAATCCAGTTATCCTCTTGGTGGTWWCTAAAAAKCATYTTAGAAWKAATATAAAASCAATTATCTAAGCAGGCATTTATTTCACTKTRCTATGACTGGAYATATTAATTKCCTGAACATTTTGGTTGGGGGTAGAGGGGACCAAACCCCTGGGGGCTTGGCACAGAAGGTTCCAGTCCCATATGATTTTTTTTGTGGAAAGAGAGGAGCCTTGAAAAACAAAATTTAAATTAAGGCAAATGAAGACTGGTTTATGAGTAAGGACCTCTTAGACGTCAAAATATACCATCATGAATGTCTAAAAATGGTCTGTCTGGTGTCACATCCTTGAACTCAGTAGAGGACAGAAGAGTTAGATTAAGGAATGATCTGTGAAGTGTTGGGTAGAATGAAAGTTTTTGGTAAGCTGAACTACTTAAAGTAATCTTAAGTTTGAATGTTGTGCATTGTAAGTCTTTGCATTCTCGCATTCTTGTTTGGTTTGTTTTTTGTTTTAGTTTTGGGGGTTTATTTAAAGATACTATTAGCAAAGATGAGATGATGCTTAAAAATTTCCAGCCARATGTGTCTCCAGACTTTCCCAGAGATGACAGCTATTCAGATGTAATTTGAATTAAATGCATTATTTAGATAAGCTCGTTTTATAGCTGGCTGCAGCTGTGAAGTTTGGATTCAGATCTGTAACTCCCCTCAACTTTGAAGACTGTAGTCAGATCTGTGGTTTTGGATTTGAATCTCCAGTTGCTTGTTGCATCAGAGYGTCGTTCACATCTGTTACCCCACCAGCTCGGTGCAAGGCTCTGACAGGAGTTTGAGGCTCAGAAAAGGCCCCTTCTCAAGCACTCTGATGCACATGAGCAGTGACAGCAGCATTTTGTAGGTCTGTAGGTTAACAGCTCCCTACGTGCCATCTAATGGCCATCCATGACCCGCCACAGAGCGTGGCTGGTGGGGCACAGGTTGCTGACTCCCAGCCTGCACAGTGAGCTCTGCACACTTCCTTCATATTATATTTCTGTGAAAATGAGAGCTGTAGCTTCCCRCAGGGATATTACATGATCCAGGGTGGAGGGAGAGAGGGTTGGTGTAATTGCAAATGGGATGAAAGCTGCTCCTCRAGGTACTCTGTGAGGGCTTATCTATGCAGATAAATAAGCTGGGAGTGAATTTACAGCACCTCAGCTCCACAGGTGGGCACTCTTAACCTGCAGTAAGGAGAAGGTGCTCCATGTGGAAAATAAGAGAGAAAATATTTGACACAAGGGTTGTCCCTGTGAGGATACGGTGCTTTGAGGCCGAGCTCCTGCTGTTTCCCCTTCTTGTTTGCTCTACAGGCAGACCTTAAGGCTTCAGCCACACTGTGAAAAATAACAACCCACAAAAGTCTGGCTGGGAGGGTGTCACTGGTTGTCACCATGGCACAGACGGCCTCACCAACTGCAGTGACGAAGCCACCCATGGTAAATGCTGGACAACTCTTCTGACCTGTTAATAGTTGGCAGACTATTTGATGACAGTTGCAAGAATCTGATGCACAGCAGTATCCTTTACAGCAGTTTAATCTTTGTCATCAAATCCCCCAGCAGCCATGATTAATAGCAGCACTTGAGCTTGTTTTGAAAGTTGTATATTTGGCAGCTATGAACTTTGATCTATGGTTTCGCTTTAAAGAATCATTATGACACAAACTTTTCCTGTAATCCTTCCATCTAATTAAACCACACACAAATACTATGTGGGGAAATATGATGCTATTGATATAAGCTGTGTGTTTATTACATTATTTTAGGCACTTTATTAAAGTGGATAGTTGTTCCCAGCAAGATAGTAGATAAGCTCCCCAAAAACAATAACATCACCCAGAAAGAATATATAAGAGAATTTCCCAAGGCCAAATTCGATTAGAAACTTTCTTTGTTGATTAATACTGYGCCCTTGAACCCGTTAAGGGCTCAGATGTTTTAACCTGATCTAAAATTACGAGCATTTAATGAATTCAGTCTACTAATGTGTACTTTTCCACAAAACATTTGCCTTTGTTCCAGATAGTCAAAGGACTTCAATACCTAACATGATAGTGTCTGTGTTCCTGAAGTAGTTCTTTCAGTGTTTGGGTACAATTTAATCAGGAAGTTTTCAAAAATCCAAGAAAATTTATTTTCATGTAAATACTTTAGACAACAGAACATTCATCTTTTTGTAGCTGAATCAACCATAAACCAGTCATTTCTTCCTGGTCTCTATCCCAGTGCATACTTTGTAGAGAAATTCCCATGAGACAGATAATGCTCATGTTTTCAAGATGAGAATATGAACTGTGGATCAGTCTGATCATTGGTTTTTTGGGGCTGAGGTACAGGGCTACATAATCCGACTGAGTTGACTTGTTTGTGCATTTGGTCTTCTTGAACCCAGCATTTGTGCAGAAGTGGATTCTTTCCTCTGGAGCAGACTACCGAGTCTCTGAGCAGCAGTTTTATGGAGCTGCCTGGAATCCCCAGAGCTTCTCCTGATTGGATCTCCTAATCTGGGTGCCACCAAACTGAGAGATAACAGAGGTGTAAATCACCACCCTGAGGCTCCTACTGCTGCTAGGGCCAACAGTGTTTATATTTGCTGATCACCATCGTTTCCATATTTTYGGGGTAGACTTTCAGCCAGCTGGCTTTTGGCTAAAGCATGACTCCTGTCAGTACTGCTTAAGCCCAGTGACCATAGTTTCTGAGTCAGCTGGAAAACAGACAAAGTACCAAGTGTAATAATTTTCCTGAATTGTCTCACAAATTTCCAGAGACTTCATATAAATGTAGAACAGCTGAAGCAACATGAGTTATCCCTTRGAGAATTCACAGCTGAGCACCCTCGAGCGGAGAAATAGCTGCCCATCACCACTCTCTGGACTTGATCAGAAGAAAGAGAGCTGCTCTRATGCAATTCCATCTTCTTGTGCCAGGTTCTCCAGTCTTGGTATTAATACTCTGTGATGATCTGTGTCCAAGACTACCACAAGACTGAGCAGAATTAGCTGGGACATTTGTCATGGGTCAGTTGTCATGAGGGAGGCTGGATCAGTGGCCAGAAATGGCCTTGACCTAACCTGCTCCTGAATAGCTGGACATGAGCTGCATGAGCTGTCATGCTCTCTTTAGTGGCTCTTCTCTGAAAAGCAAAACTTGCTGAGGTAACCTGGAATCCCTCTGACATCTGCACAACCAGGGTTTGAGTGACAGCCACAGCCTGGGCAGAGMGGAGGTGTCACATTATTCTCAACCAGCCACACAATCTTGTGGGTGGATATGGGGTCAAAATGTGATTCATATACAACTCGAATAAAGTTTTGTATAAAGAGCTTATAAAACCTCATGAGGACTTTTTACTAGTTCAAGGGCTGCCTCTTGTTCTTATTGAACTCAATGGGAATTTTGCTACTGACTTCAAAGGAAATTGAAAGGAGCCATGAGGGGTTGATTTTCACCCCTACATGTGTGCTTCTGCACACCAAATTTGCAGCTGGAAGGACTGGTTTTTAGTTGTTTTTTGCTGTACTTGTTGGGCTTTTGCTACTTGAGGGTTTGTGTAAGTGTGAGATCTGCTGCATGCAGCTTGTCTACACACATGTAAAACTGTGTGCTGCATAGGCTCCATGTATGCAATGCAAAAAGGATTCACTGAGCTGCCTCATCACAGTGGCTTCATTCTCCTGAAAGGCAAAGATCTCTCCTAARCACCTAATGACTGGTGAAGAAGGTTCCTCACTTACCACTGTAGGGTGCATAAAACCGAATCAAATATAAATTTCTCCTTTTGCAGGTCTTTTCCCAGGCTGCAAAATGGAAAGCTTCAGCTTCTRTTCTATAAACAGGCAAAGAGCCTTAAGACCAGACTCAAGAATCCAAACAATTGTTGTTAAAATGATTTGGAACTCAGTTTAACCACTTCTGAGTGCATTCTTTTCCATTCTGTCTCTGCAACAATTTGCAGAGGATGAGACTTACCAGATACACCCCAAACACTCCAGTAGGCAAGAAGGCTTCTTGCACAGGAGTGTGAGTTAAGGCTGTGGTGCTTCAGAAATAGGAAGAAAGTTGTTTAGAAGGGGAACACAGTTTAAAATTAGCGATTCACTATGAAAAGGAGAGTGACTTCACAAATACCTGTAATCTGTCAAAATTCTGTGCAAAACCTTGTGAGCACTGGAGGCTCCTRGGGACTGAGACAAAATTAGAAGTAATTTCTGTGTCAGTAATAACATGYTCTGCTTTACAGCTGGCTGAGACCTGGCTGCTGATAACTTTCTTTTAGGGAYGGTTTCATAAGCTGTAGATCTTCCTCTTAGGAAACACTCCTGCATTGTGTGCTTGAATAGCTACCATCCCRTGCTTGATTGTTCTCTGTGAGTCTAAATAGCATTACTATTAAATAGATTTTTATGTGCCTCAGATATT